GGCCACCAGCATTTAATTTGTCTGGTTTGTATGTGCGGTGGTCTATAGGAACCATTAACAGCAGCTCTTTGGAGAGTGTAAATTACAAGAAACTGGGTATTCGCAAAGTTTCAGAAAATTTCCCTCAACGTGAGTGCATTGTAAGGTATTTATTAATCTGTTCAGGTAGTTGCTGTCATTTGTTAAATCGCCAAGCATTTCATTGTGGTTTTTATCATCAGATCTGGACTCCATCCAGCATTGGTATTTCCCAGTTGTAATGCTTTTGAGTTCAGAGACTTGCATGTATGCTGTGGGAAATTAAGGCCAGAGATTGACAGTGACTGTGGTGGTGTGCCGTGGGGAAGAAGTTAGAGCTGATTTATACCATCAACTTAAGGGAGGGGGGAGAAGAACGGTAGTCCCAAACCAAAAATCTACTCTGTTAAATTTAGACTCACTTTCTGTATTTCTAGTTGCACTGGTGTTTTCAAGCATAATCTCTTTTTGTCTTCTGTGCAGTGTCTTGTTCATTATTTATCTGCTTGCCAAATTTACAACATGCTGGAAGAGTGAGAAAGGAGCAGTTAAAAGGCATGCTGGCTGTGACAGGAGATGTATCAAGTAGGTCCAGGTTATGACAGTTGAGGCTTTAGCAGCTTGGTAACTGTTCAGCAGTTTTGACTTACGGATCTGTCTTCATCTCTCCGATATCATAACTTAAGACTTTGGGAAGAGAAGATATAAAGCAATTCATCTTTTGTCTCTCCACAGTACGAACTTTCTAATGACACTGTAATTCATCTTTTGTCTCTCCACAGTACTAACTTTCTAAAGCTGCTAGTAAGAGCAAAGTGGAGTTGATTTTTACAGACGTGAAGAAGTTCGGTGGTGTTAAGCATATAGTAATTTATAATTCAATATTATAAATTCCAAATGGTCTAGGTATGATATGATCTGATGGCAACAGCCTTAGTTTATTATGTCATATAGTGTGTGTATGCAGTGTTAGCACTCTGCTTAAAGAATTAGCCTTCAACATCCCAGCTCATTTCATGGTAAGTCTTCCTGCAGCCGCCCTTGCTGTCCCTGCACTCTCTCTTGTTTCAGTCACTTCAGGTTTGTGAAGGCTCACTGGCA